AACTCAAAACGATAAGCATTCAACTCTAAAATCGCATAAATAGCTTCAAATGATATGTTGAAATTGACGTGAGTCTCAACGAATTCAAATTCAAAGTAATCACATACCCATTACTAGAAATTAAAAAAATTAGCTACTCATACTTAGAACTAAAAAGAATTTACAAAATGATTGACATTTAAGAATTAGTGAAGAAACCTGGAATTTGTCTTCAAAATCGCCACCCAATATCTAGAAATAGGTTTACTGTTTCTTCAAGAATCCAGTCCTGATCAATCTTTTTGAAAAATCTCAATTAGTCCTCTAATCCCCGTCTTGATTTCTGGCCTACTCGAAACAGCTTCTGCCTCTACTTTCCGACTGCTTAATCCCAATCGAACAGCCCCCTTGCTGTCCCGCTCGACCCCTTGCTGCCCACTCGGTGACAGCCTCTCCAAATCGATCGACTGCTGCTCGATTTACACTGCTCTCGGCTGCTGCCTTCAACCGAACAGCCCCTTCTGCCCTCGATTTTACAGCCTTCAATTCACCACCTGCTGTCTCTCTCGTCTCAATCCACAGCCTCTCTCGGTCGACTGCTTCCTCTCGATTGACAACCCTTTTGCTGTCAATCGATCGACAGCCCTTTTGCTGTCAATCGATCGATAGCCCTTTTGCTGTCAATCGATCGACAGCCCCCTTCTGCCCTCTTGACCGACTGCTCCCTCAATTTACCGCTTCGTCCTTTTTGTATCGACAGCCCCTTGTAGTCTCCTCGTACTCGCCCATGATCCACGATGTGCTGCCCATCTCCCGATCTCTCGCTCTCCACGTTTGCCTCGTCTCTCTCTCTCGCGATCGATTTCTGCCTGTTTCTTCTTTCTTTTTTTCCTTTCATGGGCTGTAGTTTGGACTTGCTTTTGGGCTGTTTGGACACAACAAACAATTAATAAAGTTTTTTTTCTTTTTTAACTTAAATAGCCTCAAGAAGTTAAATATCAACTCAAAATTAAATTGGACCTTTTTAAGCATATAATTGACATTAATCGCAAGGTAATTTGATGTAAAAATGTATAAAATTTGCACTTATCAGGTGGTCCAAAAAAAGTTGTGTCACTTATACCAAAACCTTATGTGGTTATTTTGTGGGTAAAAGCCTCTCCTTCCCGGTTTTGATAATGGTTCTCGGACCTTCAAAAACATCCCCATCTTTATTCAAATATAGAGGTCTGGCCTTAATCTTAATTCTAAAAAGCATGATAGAATAAGCGCGCATCTTTAATCTACAAGATGCTTGTTTTAGTCATAATCGAAGCCAGGTTAACTGGATATGAGCCTGATGTTTGTGAGGCAGCAGCACAAACTTAAGTTGCCCAACATGTAATGTTTGCTAATTTGTTGTAAGCAAAGAAACATTGATTCTAAGTACAATAAATTATGTTGGTTATGGTTATATGTTGAGATGCCCTGAATTCTAACTCATATTGGAAGTTTCTATGGTTGTGATCTTGTTGGGATTGCCCCTTGTAGCTAGACATAGGGGTGTTCAAAAAAACCGCCGGACCGCTCAAACCGGCCGAACCAAGTCAAACCGGACCGTTTTTGGCGGTTTGAGCGGTCTGGCGGTCCGGTCTGGTTTGAAAAATAGCCGAAACCGGACGGTCTGGTCGGTTTGCGGTTTAGACTTTTTTTTGGGCGGTTTGGACCAACCCGACCGCCATATATATATAAGTTTATTTTAGGTATTATAATTATTCAGCCCAATTAAATACCCAACTTTAATTTATACCTTATGGGCTATAATTATTCAGCCCAAACATAAAGCCTTATCCAAAAGATTTTCTAAATCCCCTAAATCTAAATCACTAATTTGGTAATTCCTAACCTAATCGGCTAATCCAAACATCCAGTAATCCACCGTCCACGATTCCACGGTATCCACTATCCACCTCTTTTTCGTTCCTAATCGTCGMGACGTCGCCTAATTCATCTAAATCCCTAGTGTTTTGACTTTTTTAAAACAATGAACACTAAGATTTGGATTCTATTTTGACTTTGTTTTTTGGTATGTTTTACATATTTATTTGTTTGGACTTTGGACTTTGGATTATTTAAATTGGGTTTAAACTTTAATGGCTGCTTCAATGCTTAGTGGTTGGTATACAGATTACTCACATGTGAATGACACTTATTTTTTAGTACTTCTATTGTAGAAAACAAATCTCCATGGAAGATGATTACGATGGGTGATTAATATTTATTATTCAAATTTATAATAGTACATATGACACTAGGTTTTTTGGTTTTAATGTTTAAAGCCCGTTAAAAGCCCAAACCGCCTAAACCGGTCAGACCAGACCGCCTTTTCGTGGTCTGGTTTGACCGGTCTGGGCACTTGGTTTCAAACCGCTCGGTCTGAAAATTTCACAAACCGCCATTACGGTTTGGTTTGTGGTTTGAGGGCTTAAACCGCCCAAACCGGACCGCGAACACCCCTAGCTAGACATAGTGATGGCCAAAAACCGGTCCTGGGCCGGGCCTAATCGGTTTTAAGCTTTCTCAACCGGTTTCGGTCCCAGTCGAAAATGGTAGGACCGGTCAAGGTACTTCATAACCGGTTATGGGCTCCCGGCCCCGACATTAAAAAATAAGATTATTTATTTATTTTTTTGATGATATATATTTTTAATACTCTATAGAATTTACAATTGGGTCACTCAAATACACTTTAAAAATGTTTTTTAATATAATTAAACTTACATTGTCTTATAAAAATACATTATAAAATTATTTAAAAATACATTTATTTATAAAATTATTTGAATTTTCGGTCTGGGCCGAGCCGGTGCCATAACCGGTCCCGGTCCCACGAAACTACCAAAAACCTCAACCGGTCCCCATTTTCGGTCCCGATTTTCGGTCCCATAACCGGTCCTTCGGCGGTCCCAGGCTGGGCCGGGCCGATTTGGCCATCACTAGCTAGACATGGATCTTGTTATATTTTTATGGTAAATTGCATCAAAATTGGAATGGATTTTGTTCTGGTTGCTAGTTTGGAATTTCTTATATCACTATGACCGAATTTTTTCCAAACGGGATCTACATGGAAACAACCACTATACTTTTTGTGGTAGAGGTCAAGGTCAAGTTGCATACATCTTATCCTTCCTCGACCTTATCTCCGAGTGGAATATATAGGCTTGTTTGGTTTTTCTATGATTGAAATTTATCTATAAACATGTAACGTTTTAGAATTATGTACATTGGTTTTTTTATTAACATCCAAACAAATCAAATGAACCTTGTATATCCCACAGGAGGTGCGGTTTGAAGAGGGTAAGATTAATGCAGACATGGACTCACCTAAGGGTAAAGCGACAATTTCTATGAAGACCCCTGTATTTATGAAAGTGTGACAAAAAGAGAAAGTAAGGAACGATAAAGATTTAAGATTTAAAATACGTGCTAAGAAAAAAATAAAAACATACAAATACTAGGTACAAAAAGAAGCATCTTTGCTAAATTCCTAAATAGAAAGGATCAAAGAGGATGTTTGCTTGTGGTTATGGTTTATGTGAAAGTTGATTGTTTTGATAAAGCATCTTTGCATATTGCTTTTGTTCAACATGGTGCATTTTACTTCATGCTTGGGTAACTCCGAGGTGGTCCTTTTCCAATTGGATTTGGATTTCTTCTTGGGATTGTTTCCTTTCCTATATTTAGTTGCGTATTATCATTTGAACCCATGCTCACAGTTATGTATTGTACAATAGTCGATGTTAATTTGAATTATGAAATCAACCTTCTAAGGATACATTTGATATATGGGATATGACAAAACATGGTCGCATACAAATTCATCGTCTCATGTTTGAGACAAAATAGAACCCGAGTGTGACAACATGCAATTTTTTCCTGTCCCCATTAACATAATGGAACAAAAATCGAAAAAATGAGATGAAATTGGTAAATTATTAAGGACCTGTTTGTTAACAACTTAATGATCTTAAGAGACCCACAACTTATTTGGTTGGTTGTAAATAACTATTTGATAGTAGCTTAATGATATCAAATGTGTTTTATTCAGTAATTTTTTAAAGGTAATCTTTATATAGAAAGTCGAGTTTTTTTTTTCAAACATGACCAACACAATTAAAAAATATTTTCCGTCTATCTATGAAAAAATTCTCTCAAACAAAACTTTCTCATTCTATACAGATAAATTAATTCAGACAGCTTTATCCATAAATGACTTAATTTGAATTAAAATCCAACCAAACACTTCTTAAATCACCCTTTATTTTATTTTTGAAACTCCAAAACTTTTCATATTTTTTTAATCGACCAGTCTCATTTGTTTACCAAACGCTATATGAGAACAATTGATTTTCAAATAAACTACTCTGTTATGTTAACCATAAATTTGGAATTATTATGAATCACTTTCTCATATTATTTGATCTTCAAATGGAAGTCAAATCTTTGACAAATCATTAAGGTCAAAATTAAGTAATGGTTCGGATTTTGGATCACCGTTTTCTTGTGAAAGGGTAAAATGGTAATACCACACGTTTCTTCTTCATAAAACTTCTATTCGAAGATAAACCCCCATTTCCCTATAAAGAACAGATACTTCCAATTGTACCCCACCTCAACTTTCGTTACCTAAATCTTCAGCCTTTTCTGCAGATTTCCCATCTTTCATACAGTTTTGGAGATATGGTGTCCAGCGTAGATCGATCGGAGATTGCTTTCTTTGACCTGGAAACAACTGTACCCACCCGACCCGGACAGGGTTTTGCCATCCTGGAATTCGGGTCAATACTGGTTTGCCCTAGGAAGCTTGTTGAGCTAGAAAGCTACGAAACGTTGGTAAGACCACATAACCTCTCACTCATCTCCACATTGTCCGTTCGTGCCAACGGCATCACCGCCGATGCGGTTGTTTCCGCCCCGACCTTCTCTGAAATTGCGGATAGAGTTTACGACATTTTACACGGTACTTTGAGCTTCAGGTTTCGTTTTATGCTAGTAATGCTTTTGTGAATTGAATTGGGCGTTTGATGTGTGGTTTGATAGGGAGGATATGGGCGGGTCACAATATAATTAGGTTTGATTGCGTGAGGTTAAGGGAGGCATTTGCTCAGATAAATAGACCACCGCCGGAGCCCAAGGGAACCATTGATTCACTGGCTTTGTTGACACAGAGGTTTGGGAGGAGAGCCGGTGACATGAAGGTATGATTGTTCTCCCTTTATGGTCTCTAATTCTGTTGAAGCATATGGGTGTAATTGAGAAGATTTCTGTTTGCAAGAATGGTTTGGTATCTTTCGATTTTGGTTTTCTGTTTTCATGAAACTGTGGAGTTATGAATCTAGATATGCCATTTTAGTCCTGTTTTTGGAGCTTAAAGATAGAGAATTTGCTATGCAGACATTCTATAGTGCCCTAATGGTTTAAATTATCAGAGATAGGCGATAATCATACATAGTGGGAGGTTCAGTAAGAAGATTATATGTCGTGAGAAGGTAAGAAGGGAAGGTAGGGTTCATATGTGAATCATTGAAAAAAGCATTCGAATATGCATATGTGAACCCACATGACTAATCTGTAACGTTGGTTCTCGTATGCATCTTCAAAATGATTTTTTTCAATAATTCATGTTTGAATCTTCTCTTAACTTCCCTTCTTATATTCTCATGTTATTTAGCCTTCTTATTTGAACCAACCCCATCTTACATATTGGTCTAATTGGGATCATGTTTTTAATCAATTCTCTGCCAATGTTTTGCTAATAATAGTTTCAATCTTTGTTCAGATGGCCAGTCTGGCAGCTTACTTTGGGCTCGGAAAGCAAACACATCGGTAATATGCCCAAAAATCTACCGTAAATACATTTTTTACAAATGCCAATTTTTGCCCTCATGTTCTTTTCTGTCTAACTCCTGTCTGTATGGTTGGTTCCACTTGTGATATTGATGGCTTTGGATGGGAGCTGAGAATTGCATCACTTCCATTATCAATATCAGTAGTTCGACTTTCAGCATGTGGAAACTCGTGAATCGAAATTACTCCCCGAGTCTGTTTGTGATTTTTATATATGCTTCATTCATGGTGTATGAATATTTGTTGTTTTACTCGGCTTTAATGTTAAATATACTTCAAGATGTGTCCGGATTAGTTTGTTCTTATTCAAGATGGATCATAATTTCATGAAACGATGTTATATGCATGCTCGATTTGCATTCATTAGGGCCTAGAATGAAGAAAGATTAGCATCATGATTCGGGTCTGATTTTTCGTTCAACAATTTCTTTTCAGGAGCTTAGACGATGTTCGAATGAATCTTGAAGTTCTCAAGTATTGTGCAACGGTTCTTTTCTTGGTAACTTTTCACTTCTTTGGTTAGCAAACTACAATCTTTCTCCGCTCTTTTGAGCAATCTTCACTCATGATTCTTTGCATATACATTTCCTGAATATTTGTATGCAATTTCTTCTCCTTCTTCAACGTCATCTGACACTCCCTTCGTCCCAAAATAAATGTCCACAATGAATAAGGGCCTATTTGTTAGCAACCTAATGAGTTTAATGGGACTCATAGCTTATTTGGTCGATTATACATGACTGTTATGCAGAAAGCCAAAAAATTTCTAGACCTGCCCCTTTCAATTAAAAACACGCTCCTTTCATCTATGAGAAACCCTGCCAAACAAAAAAGTTCCAATCTATACAGACAGATTAATCCACACAGACTTCTTTATCCATACAACACTTATGGAAAATCTACCAAACAGCCCCATAGCTATTGTACTTTTTTAATAACTAAATGACAATTGTATCCTTAATAATAGAAGGAGTAATGGATCTCCATCTCCTAATTAAGGGTAGAATTGGAAAGTAAGCACTTAGTGGACACTTATTTTGGGACAGACTAAAATAAAAATGTCGACACTTGATTTTGGAACGGGGTAGAAGATGGATTTGTTTCCTCCACTCTTCGAGTTCCATTTCTGAAGAAACGGTTCTATAAAATGGCACTGGTCTACCCTTCATGTAGGAATCGAGCCTTCCAGATATATTTACAGAAAACAGTTGGGTTTCTCCAAATGCTACCACCAGAAATCGTAGGAATGCAAAAGCCGCTCTAAATGGAACCGACCTGACCACTAACCCACCTTCTTCTAGTAGAAACGTCAAAAATTGGGGTTCTCCTCCAAGTAACAGAGCAGAGGAAGCAATTCATCCGATTTTTTCACTAGCAGCTTCTGGTGTTGGGGAACAAGTTCCAAATCCCGTTGAATCCGGTAGTCCTCAACCCGACCCTTTTGACTTGGGTCCACTTGTGGATAAAATTGAAAACGAAATCCTTCAATCAAATGAAGCCATGGAGGAAGAATCGTCTACAGCCACTCTATCTAATGCCGTCAGTGAAAGCACCGACTTTCTTGAGCCAGATGAAGTGTCGTGGACCTCTGTTACTGTAGCTTCTGTCCCCTTTTTCCGTGGACCCCAAAAGATGCAAATACTTCATGGAGACATGCCGTTGCAGATGCACTCTAACTCCCTGAGGGTACGTTTCGGGTTTAGCACAAAATATGTTGATCTTGCTGGAAGGCCGCGACTAAGTATTGTGGTAGATGCACCTCCAAATCTCTGTGGCATTCTCGATGCATGCGATGAACTTGCTAAGAAGAGGTTTGTGGAGTCTGATAGCGATTCCGAGTGGAGACCTGTTGTGAACAGAAGGCCTGGGTTTTATAACTTCCCCACCGTCAGATTGCAGTAAGTCTCTTTGTTTCGGTTGGATATCGGCTCGTGGGTGAAAGTTCAAACGAGAACCATAAATATTTTCAGAACTATGAGAACCGGTATATGCGTATAGGGGGCAGGTTCAAATGAGAACCGTAAATGTTTTGAAAACCTTGAACCAACTATTCATGCTTTTAATTCATGATGAATGCCGTGATAATATTCATGATATTAAGGGTTATTCATCATGAATTATACATGAAATAGTTAGTTTCCTGGTTCTCAAATATTTATGGTTCTTTTTTGAACTTCTCCTTATGCATATATGCATTGATGTATATACACTATCAAACTATGCATATGTTAGTATGTTCATCAAGGGGACGATTCAGATAAGAAAGGCTAATTATCGTTAGAAGGGAAGGTTAAAGGAGGTTCATATATGAATCAATGAAAAAGTCCCAAAAAATCTATTTGAAGATGTATATGTAAACCGACATTACAAATTATTCATATGGCTCACAATATCCATTTTCAGATAGATATTTTCAATGATATACATATGAAAACCTTTCCTTAACCTTCCTTTATTACCATTTCACGATATTTAACCTTCTTCTTTAAACCTCTTACTATTCATCAATATGTGTACTATATATGCAAGTATATATATATGCATTGGTGCATATATACTCCTTGAAATCCATATAATGTATTTACATCAATGAATATACTTGTTTCCGTTGTCCTCATAATATTTATGGTTCTCATTTGAACCTTCAGGTAGGTTCAGGGGACCTTCTTTTGAGAACTCTCTAAACCGTGAAATCTCTGAGAACCTATATATCATGTGCTATTTCATATGATTTTTTTCATCTATGGTTAGAATTTAAAGTAGTGATTAACATATATTTGTTTCATAATGTGTTTGTTTGACATATGCTCAGTTCATAGTGTGAAACTTTTTGGCGTGTTTGTGAAACAAAAAGTACGCATAAAAAAGTTACACATTGTGAACCGAGTACATATGAAACTAACACATTGTGAAGCAAATATATGTTAATCAACACATTAAATACTATACTTGGATTGAAAAAATTTCATGTGACGCAAAACCTTATGTTCTCATGTATCTCACCAGTTTTGGATTCTCAAATGATTAAAGCTCTGGTAGGCTCATATACCCTCTACCCCTAATATACAGTAGAAAAAATGTGATTGACTGATTGTTGCTCTTGTGATGATATACAGATTACCGAATGTTGTAGAAGGGGATAGTGCGAGATTGGTCACAGAGATATACCAGAAAGAGTCGCCATCATCACGACCAGTGGTGTTGAGTATGTACGATGTGGAGGAACTCCAAGCGTTGATTCATCCAGGTTCCTGTTGGTGATTTTGTCACCAATGTTATTTAAGTGTAATAGATTGACTTAGCTGCTGATCGATGGAGGTTTTATTGAACTGTTTGGTGGTTGATAACTGCTTTGGCAATTATAACCGAACTACAGTTTTATTGATCAGATATATGCTGTAATTTGGGTGCTGTTCATATATAACAAAAACACATTCTCTGTTTTCATTTTTTCTGAGTTTTATCCGATTGAAGATTTCGATAGCACCATCGAAATATTTCGATCTGAAAGTGTTTACACGACTCTCAGATATACTGTGATCCTTAAATTTTTTCTAACAAAGATCGAAATATTCTGTGATCATGACGACTGGAGAATCTGTGAAAAATATGACGAACAAGTTTGACAAGTTGGCAAAGTTCGAAGGACAGGATTTTCGTCGCTGGCAAAAGAAGATGCATTTTCTTCTTACCACCCTGAAGGTTGTGTACGTTCTRAGTACACCCAGTCCCGAATGGGATGAGAATGAAACACTGGAGACGACAAGGAAAAGGATGAAGTGGGAGAACGACGATTACATATGTCGGGGTCATATTCTAAACGGTATGTCTGATGCCCTATTTGATGTCCATCAAAACGCTAAATCTGCAAAGGCCTTGTGGGAGTCCCTAGAATCCAAATACATGGCAGAAGATGCTTCTGCAAAGAAGTTTCTTGTTAGTAATTTTATGAATTACAAGATGGTTGAAACCAGGCCTGTCATGGAACAATACCATGAGATGTTAAGGATTCTGGGACAGTATACCYAACACAATTTGCTGATGGATGAGGCCATCTCRGTTGCAGTAATTATTGATAAACTGCCCCCTTCCTGGAAAGAATTCAAACATAGTTTGAAACACAAAAAGGAAGATCTAAATTTGGTTCAACTCGGTAGTCATCTACGAATTGAGGAAGGATTAAGAAATCAGGAACTTGATATTAATCCTAAAGACAAGAATCAAATTGGATCATCYTCTGTCAACATGATTGAAGGAGATGGAGCCAAAAAGTACAACGAAAATAAGAACAAAAGAAAGTTCAAAAGTGGTGATGATAAATCTGCCAATAAGAAGGGTACTGTGACTTGTTGGAAGTGTAAAAAGCCTGGTCATATGAAGAAGGACTGTCGCTCTCGTGGTAAGGGCAATGGYGCTGGTTCCAGTGGGTCTAAGGATCCTGCAAAGCAACAAGGYAATAATTCTGATTTAATACAGAATTTTGATAATGTTTTACATTATGTTTCTGTAATTTCTGATGCATTTTATGTTCAGGATGATGAAGTTGCTTGGTGGATTGATTCGGGTGCAACATGTCATGTTTGCAAGGATCTTCGTTGGTTTCAAGTCTGCAAATCGATTGAAGATGGCTCATTTGTAAAGATGGGAAACGTTGCTACCGAACCAATCAAAGGAATAGGGCGTGTTTTATTAACTTTTACTTCTGGAAAAACTTTATGTTTAGATAACGTATTGTATGTACCCGGGATTCGAAAGAATCTTGTTTCTGAAATTGTGTTGAATAATTGTGGATACAAACAAGTGTTGGAAAGTGACAAGTATATCTTGTCAAGACATGGGTCATTTGTTGGATTTGGTTATGTGTGTAATGGAATGATTAGATTGAATCTAAATTATCCTTTGTTTAATGCTTCTGCTTGTATGATTAGTTCTAGTAATAGCAATAATTTAAGCAAATCTGAATTGTGGCATGCTAGACTAGGACATGTTCATTACAAGAGAATGCATGATATGTCGAAAATGAGTTTAATTCCTGCTTTTGATATGACAAACGAAAGTTGCAAAACTTGTTTGTTAACAAAAATCACTAGACAGCCTTTTAAGGGTGTTAACAGGAAAAGTAGTGTATTAGATCTCATACATAGTGATTTATGTGATTTTCATGCCAATCCTTCACTAGGACATAATAAGTATGTCATTACTTTTATTGATGATGCCTCTAGATATTGTT